TAGCTACCAACAAACAACGGCCGTCTGCTTTGCCGCTGCTTTCCATTTTGTCCATCGTGAGTCCTTATAACGGATAATTGCACTAGCTGTTGTGACAGGAAAGAGCATCGCTGTCTACCGCTTCACCTGTGCGCAATGACTGGTCACTAACAATATTTCAGAGCCCTCCGTTATTCGGTCTGGCGTCTGTCAAGGCTGTATCCTGTCGCCCATTCTGTTAAATTGTTTTGCTCCGTTATCAAATTATACAGACTGCACTCGCTGCGATAAGGTCGCAGGAATATCCTAGGCCATCCAAGAAAGAGGACTGAGGTGATTTAGGCATTTTTTTCGTCATCAACTTCACGAGCTCCGTGCTACTGCTCTCCAATCCGATCAGGTAGGTTATAGACAACAAAGAGGGGGTCAGCTCAAAACCTTGCTCGAAAGAGTCCGTTGGAAAATGAAAGTTGTCCTTGGACCTTCGGTGTTTGGCCTCCTTCGTTGGCGAAGAGGATGGATTGAACTACCTAGGTCTGTTGCCACGGATCGTCACGGGCGGGGAGGTATAATACGTGACACCAGGGAGGCCAGCTAGATTGGGCATGATCGCAACCATACCAGGTAAAAGTATGTCTAATAGAATCGTGCGATTATCACATATACAAACAGCAGCTGTTATGCTGCAGTACGGAACTGTATTTTTACAGGCAATAGTCAAATAGCATTTTTAAAATTTTTGCTTTGCATAAATACGCATAATCCCAACTTTGTTAATCAGTAACCATAGTCGTCTTTTGAGTACCTAATGCCTTGTTTTCTGGAAATTCACTTCATCTCCAAAGCTTGCCATCTCTCGTTTTAACTATTCAGAAATTAATTTCGCTTATTCAACTATCGCTTAAGTTGCTAGCATTTTCTGTAAGGTGCACAACGTGGCTATTCAGGTGCCTTTTTATGAGGTTAATTATAAATAGCTTCTAACCTCCTGCCTCTTTATCCTTTATTGGTAATCACAGCTGAAACGATGGATGATGAAACAACTCGTCGAGAGGCCTGGGAATTTTGGCAAAGGACCTGCTTCCAACGCCTGTCTGAGGGCGAGTTTGGCCAGGGGTTGGAAGATTCCTCATCGGATATGTCCTATCTGCATCTTATTGCATCAATTCTTGCTGGTCGACAGACTATCTGGGATGACGAGCGAATTATGGAAGCCTGCGGTCAGCCTAACAATTGGTATTTCCGCCTTACTGCGTGGATTTTCTACACTAATCGCTTTGTGGGACCCGACTCACTCCTTCCGTTAGTGGATCAGTGGCGCCAAATGTACCCCTCTCATCCGAACTCACCAAACAATCCCCTTGATGAGGTGCCATTTTCGTATATCTGTTTTCTCGACTGTGATCATTATTTTGTAGATAGTTTAGATACAAGTGAACCAAACGCTTTCATTGATATAAGGTTTTCCTTAAATATTTTCCTGTGTCGCAGGGTAAACAATATATGGCTGATGAGAATTTACCGAAAGTGTACACTCGCCAAATGCTGTTCTAAACGATATAGTCCAAAAAATCCGTTTGCTAGCGCTTGCTCATCATGTCGCAGACCATATCAGTACGAAACTCCTGCAAATAAGACGTTTTAATCCCCAGGTGCAACTTTTATGTTATTTCCGTTGTTTCCATATTCCGCGATCTCAGAAGAATAATTGCTAGTTTTATTTGTACTTGTACTTGATACGGCTATGGTCACGCCTGATCTAGTCGGCCCCAATGAGTTAATGAAAGACACCTATCCACGCCTGGCGATTAGCAGCAGCGGACCGGAAAAGCTCCACCCTTTATCTTCTCCAGCGACAGAGACCAAAAACCAAAGGTCCATGAACCGCTTTCATGTCTTAACGAACGGTGTTCAGCCAAGTCTTGATTTGCCCTCCTCTTCGACGCTTCCAGGTGGGTCGCAGTGCCGCATCGAAGGCAGCATAACAAAGCTCGTGAGGCGGACGACGTAGAACGTGCCTAAATCACTTCAGTCGTCTCCCTTGGATGGCTTGAGATATTCTCGTGATACCGCCACGGTGACTGTGGACTGTCTACTTTGAGACGAAATCGGTACACTTCACTGGACAGGTGGTAGTCAGACAGGGGTTAAATACCCCGAGTCCTTGCGCAGTTCCAACACACGAGGTCCAGCATTCACACCCATAGATCCGTAGACAGTTTCGGAGGGTTGAGAAAACCCGATTCAGGAGACAATGCCTTCAGTGCATTCGGTATCAGCCTCGCCCCGAGGTATTTAAAGCTGCCTACTTCTTCTAGTTGACGGCCATTAATCCCCAGGGGTGCTTTTTCCTTGTCATGGATGCAACTCGAGAATAATGTTGCCTTTCCGATATTTATGGACAAGCCGACTGACGCAGCTATCTCATTCACATGTGACACTACAGACTGTAGATCACCAAAGCTTTAGGCTAGCAGGGCAATACCATCGGCGTAGTCGAGATCAGTCACTCGGCCTCCGGGTACAAGCTAAACACCGTCCTCTTCATGTAGAACCTTCCCGAGAATTCAGTCAATGGCACAGTTAAACGGAATAGGCGACAAGCTGCAGTTTTGTCGAACACCACACCGGATACTGAACAATTGGGAAGGATAGTTGTGAACCAGTACTCGTGCGGTGGTGGGGTGATAGCAGGCCTTACTCGTCGCAATAATTTTGTTCGCTACTCCATCTAGTTCCACTAGTCGCCAAAACGACTCACGATGAACGGAATCCAAAGCAGCGGCGAAGTGGACAAAACGGACAGCCGTCGGTTGCTGGTAGCCAGGGCGGAATTCCAGAATGCACCTCTGTAAATATCTGGTCTACGCATCCGCGCCCAGCTCGAAATCGGGCTTGGTTGGGCTTCGTCCTAGAGTCTCGCACTGACGGAAATCTTCTGAGAAGAACAATAATGAAGACTTTCGCGTTAATGTCGATCAGGCTTATGCCGAAATAATTGTCGCACTTAATCTTATCTCCCTTTATGAAGATACCCGAACCCCAGTCATTGTGAACCACCGCATCTCTCCATGCTTCCTCGATAATCTCATGGGACCAGGATATAAACACAGGACTTGTGTATTACAGTGGGAATACCGTCCTCTCTGAACGCCTTGTTGCGCAGTCTATGTATTGTATCGACAACTTCTTCAGAATGGAGGCTTGAGAGGGATGAAACTGCTGTGTAGTTTTATGCTCCTGGTTGCACGAGAAGTTTTAGATACTAACACGCCTCTATGCGGGCTTTTTAAAACTACTATAAGCAATATTATTGATAAATTTCCTTTGTGCCATGCAGATGCGAGTTTGTACCATTCTGTAAAGTTATAAATCGCCTGAATGATTTATTTAGCAATAAAAAACTAACAAAGTTGCTCTGTTTGTTAACCTGTCAAAAGTATAACTAAAACCTTTATTCTGACTTACTTTTCCTATCGACCGCACCTCTCATAAGATTGGCTGAGATCTTAGAATAACATTTATATATATTTACAACTTTCGTGACAGGCTGCATGAAACTAAACTCTATGTGTTTGCTTTCAGATAATTGACGAACTGGTCATTAGCATCTTCAGAACCGATATTATCTCGCTTCTAAACACCGCAGGCGAAAAATTTAGCAGCTGGTGGCTAGTCGCCCATATGTCAAACTTTCTCAAACGCCTTTGTCCAAAAATTTTCGAGTCGGAAGTTTCACCGGGCAATGTCAACTCAATCAAGGAGTCAGCGAAAGTTAAGTTGGAGGACAATGGCACAGGTATATTTTCTTGATATTAATACATTAAATCCCCAGTGATGTAGTTTTTTTTAAAACTTTTTATTGTTTGAACACGACTATAGGACCAGACGTGTAACGCATTATTGGAGTACTCCGTTTATTTTAAGCACTCGTTGCATGATGTAATTAAAAACAACACCATGTAATTTTTTCAGCCGCCGGATCGATCTCTACTCGATTCCCAAGAATTTGCAGTTCTATTTTTTTCCCATCACGGGACGAAGTAAATAGTCGCCGTCTAGGGAACATCCGATCTGCGCATTTTACAGACGCATATGCGGTTCCCCTTTTCCTGTTTCGTATTCGACTGTAGGGGGCATTTCTGTACTCCGCGTCACACTTGCGGAATGATGAAGCGCGACGCAAATCCCGCACTCGGATCGAAAGCATATGGTTCCATTATCTACGACGCAATGGTATATGACTCCTCTCGTGTTGTCAACGGTATTACTGCTTTATTTGGCTCACGTACCAAACGCAGTTCCACAAAGAGGAGGTATTTACCTCTTCATTCTCATTTAGCGACGGGAAAAGAGTATTATATCTCGTTTTACAACTCCACTGTAGACCCCTCGTTGACGTCTGCATGGGACGAGCAAGCAAGAATGAAGGGAAATAGGATAAAAACCATGACCGCCTGCCGGCCCTAGTCTTGCACTAACTTGAAGGACTGCAGTTTTAGTCTGGTTTTATTTGTTTACTAAACCGCATGTGTCATGGCTGAAAGCACAATTTTAGGCTCTGTCGGTTGCGATACGGCACGCGCGAGTGATATTAACCGGCGAAATACCATCTTCGCCCATCAATTCCAGTCGACAGAACGCGACCATATAGCCGAGCCGGCAGTACCTCTAGCAAAATGAGGCCAGCAGTTAATTGCGAGGTCTCCTACCCCAGCTTGTAATGTGACAGAAAGCAAGCGGTCAGTCAGCAGACAAGGAGCTTAGTTAGTGTCCCTCGATTAACAACTTTACCCTTAACCAGAGGTTTTACGCATTGAACTGGGAAGTAAGTCGGCGAACACCTTTAAGTCTTTGTCTATAGGTATCCTAGCCTGGGATACTGCAGGGACGACTGTATCTGCATAAGCCCGTCTTATTAACGCGACCGGCATGCCATGGCTTTTTTTCATACACTTTAAACCTATAGAGTGATCTGGCTAATATTTCTGCTTTATATCTACTTGCTGCCCTACCCCTATAATCGAATTTTGCTGTTGCAGATGTTTGACAGTTTCTTTTGTTTCCTTTATTAGACGAAATTGACGGGACCAGGGTTTACAGCCTCCTATCAGACTTCTTTCTTTTCGGCTACGCGGAATCTCTGGCCTCAGAACCGGGCTTATTGTCAGTGGCCCTGGGGTACCTGGACTATTGCTCGTCTACCGCAGCCGCACGAGAAGCGCAGGCCAGTCTGATCGCTCAGGTCAAACCATCCTCTACGCGAATGACTAACTTAGTGAGTTTTCCACCTCCCTTTTTTGTTTTACCTCAGTTTATGCTTGAAGCTTGGATAGCGAACAGAGGAAGAGCCTCAAAGAGACCCTTTTTTGAAAAGCTGCGATCGCCATTACTCGCAGTCGATCATTAAAACCCACCCCACTAAGCCTTTGGTCCTATGTATGAGTCTGCAGTGTGCTGCATTCTTAGATATTAGATTGTTGTTGTTGTTGCCTTTAACCTTAACCCGTTAGTATGTGGGCAGCCACAGGTATTGGAGACGCTTTTTTAACATATTTTTTAACTTATTTATTTCCAGCCATACACTGCACACATTTGCGTATTGACTGAATTCACATTCCGGTACACTTCTACTACTACTACTACTA